ATGTAACAGATATTATTTTGAATGTAATGTAATCTCAAAAAAGTTGCTATCACTTTTTTTAGAACTGCAAAGCTTAATGTACATAACGTGAAAGACCCAATATATTGCTGGTGAACATTGGAAACAAAATGCACTATAAAATACTACTTATATACAGAAAATTGAAAAGGTGCTATAATATGTGAAAATAACTAGCGAAAAATAGTGAGTACTCTAATCTGAGTTATTTGTGCTAGTATGAATTTTAACTTAAAATAAAGACTGTATCTTCTCCAAAAGTTTAGTGTATCTTTTGTTTTAAGTTTAAATTTATACAGCATGCAGGCATGAATAATTGAGGTTACAGTACTTATTTCAATTTTTACAATATTGTAGTACCTTCTTTTCAATTGTCTGTAATCGAATAAACTCTGCAGTGCATAAACGTCTTTAACGTTAGCAGTATTGTAACGCAATCTGCTAGGTCTTTTGCACCACATACATTAAATTTTGTAATTTTGAAAAAATAGAATTTTTTAAAATATATTGAACATACAAAATTATAATACAGGGTACTAAATTCTTAATTCAAAAGTAAAACAGAATGCTCTTTTGTTTTCTATATTCTTTTCTATTTAGTTCTACATGAAATATCTGCATCTCTCTTTTTCTAGTTCTTTCTTCTAATTCTATTACTCTCTCCTCTAGTATAATAAACTATTTCATATTTAAAAAAATATAATGAAATAAATTAATAAAATGTACCTCTGAAATTTCATGATTGTGTTCATTATTAACACTAGTTACTTCTAGTTGTGTACCATCTTTAGTTGCTCTGACCATAATGTGAGCAGGACAATTTGTTCGTATGGATCTGTAAACACATGTAAGAATGCAGAAAGAAATAAATTTATTTTTTTTATGTCAAAACTAGATAAATATCAATATCAATATATCATTAATATACATTGGCTTCATTCAGCAGAATGTTTATTTTGAAACTGTTGGAAGTTTTCTTCCCACTGATTGAATTATACTTTTCTAGTTCTAAAGGAATGATTCTAGCTTTGCAGACAATCATAAAACAGTTACAAAACTGTTGTGTTCTGCTAAATACAGCTATTGTTTAAGGAACCAATTAAAGACTTACTGAGATTGTCTTCTACCAGCACCACGAGGAAGGAATTTCTGGCCACCATAGATACACGCATATTTGACAGAATAATATTTCAATCGCTCACTAATTGGCCGTGCGGTTTTCATATGAGCCCCGCTTACAGTTCTACTGTCTCGTCTCCAGTAATGCACCAATGTATGTTTCGAGACTCTGTCCAACTTCTGCTCCAATTCCTCATAGCTGTCAAACACCTCTCCCAGATGAAAGGACATGTCCCCAACGCTCATATTCATCGTGAAAACTGCAACTAACAATCTGTATAACAAAAGGAAAATTAGTTTACAATTGATCTCCAACAGAGATTCATGATTTTCCTTCAATGCGAGACAATATTTTTACCGTCGTCATCGTCGCATGTGATCTGCTCGCCTAAAGAGAATACGACGTGGATTTCTTGAAAGAATCTAACTCGAAGGTCGCGATACCGAAATCAGAATGGAAATTAGCGTAACAATTGTAGACTAGCAAAAAGTGCGACCATCAAAAAGTGTCATCGTCGCCGTCGCTCGACTGACCAAGGCTCAACTCGACGACGATCGAGCGCGGTGCGGACTTCAACATCATTCACTGGGAGTCACGAGTCGTCAGAGTGAGGTTATATTATGCCTGTGTTAACGATTGGCGTGGTAGAAGCCATTGAAGACACACGTCGGGGACCGTGAACACAGACAGATCGAAATCTCTCGGCAGTGAACCGGGCGAGCAGGCAACTGGACCTTTTCGGCGGATTTGTCAATTTTCTCACAACATAATGGTGATTCGTCGAACGGAAAATACATACCACGATGATCACGTTGCTATATTTTCGAAGTGGACGGAACCATCGAGATGACAGCACATCCAAAATATTTTGTGACCCTCTATAAATGTTCCAAGAGAGGATATCGAACGCCTCTTTGATGACGCGCAAAGCCTTTTAATCTTTGCGTCGTCAGACGTATGGTATAGAAATACCAGTAAACTTATCCATAGGCCGGTATTCATAATCGGATCTTATATTTAAGACAGTCTTAAGTACATTCTTAAGATGTCATAAACCAATCAGAAGGCCGCATTAGCGACTTAAGACATTACTTAAGCCCATGACACATACAAGAACGTAATGCTGGATTCACCCTGCATCCGATTTTCGTCGTACGACGCTCTGCAACCAACTCAGAAAACAGGATTCCGATGGATTTTACTTCGTATCATCGGAATCCTGTTTTCTGATTGGTTGCAGAGCATCATACGACGAAAATCGGATGCTGGGTGAATCCAGCATAAGGCCATAACACGCAAGCAGTAAGTGAATTGACCAATCACAGCAGAGACCGTAAGGCCAGTAGCGAATCCAATGTTACGATTTCCTTACTGATTACGTCTTACGGACTTACGTTTTTCTACGTGCTCCCGGCTTTAGGGCTGCCGCACACGCCTTCCGTAACAGTAACCATAAGCCGTACCGTAAGTATCAGCCAATCAGAATTAAGGGTTCAAAAGATTTCTCGACTATGATTGGCTAATTCTTATGGTACGTCTTATGGTTATTGTTACGGAAGGTGTGTGTGGCAGCCCTTAAGACGGTCTTAAAATAAGAACCGACTATGAATACCGGCTATCTGCCATAGAGTGGTATTCATAGTCGGTTCTTTTTTTTAAGAATGCTTAAGATGCTAATACGGCCCTCTGATTTCCTGGATTCACACTGGATCCGACGCGTATCGTATGACACTCTGCAACCAATCAGAAAACAGAATTTTGCTTTGCATCATCGATACGAAATAAAATTCTGCTTTCTGATTGGTTGCAGTGCGTCGTACAACGCAAATCGGATGCAGGGTGAATCTAGCATAAGACTGTATTTGAGGCCCTGTGCACAATAAAAGGAATAAGGAATTAGGAATAAAGAATAAACGATTTCAACCTATCAGAAACCGTATATTTCGATGTATCCGATTTCTGATAGGTTAAAATCGTTTATTTTTTATTCCTAATTTCTTGTACGGAGAATCCATAGAAGTTGCTCAAGACTCGAGATAGTCTTAAGCTAGTGCTTCACTACTACCCCCGTAATCGCTCTATCTCTTTCTAGGCTGCCAAAAATCAAGATGGTTTCGATGCTAAGGCTCCGTCCAGTACTATATGTCGATGGCTACAGTCATGTTTGCATCATTCCAAATGAAGGTTTGAAAACATTCAAATTGTCCATCAATCGTACTCGACATAATTAATAAACTGCACTCAAAATGTATATAATTCCATGTGCAATATTATATAAATATATATCCTATGACGGACCGAAAATCGGTACAAAATAAAAATATACGGGGTGCAAAATAAAAATATACAGGGGGTGGCACCCAGTTGGACACGAGCCATTCACAGCACTTGAGACTACAAAGCTCCTAAGCACCGGTCGCTGTGATTGGTGGTGTCTAATCGTGCCGTGATCAATCGGGATCATCCCATTCTGTCCCTATGAAAAAGATTTATCGTTATTTTTCAACACCCTTCTCGCATTAAAGAGAATTGTAAGATCGAAGAGACCGAATTTGGAAAGTTTCTTTAAAATTTCCTCGAAATACGAAGAAATCTGGAAGTGGGGGAATAACTCGTTCCTCTCTGAAAAGCGGCATTTCAAACTCGCGCGAGAATCGGGCGCAAGTATTACGAGAGAATTGTATATTTGTATTCAGCTCAACAAAATTTTTCACACGATACCTATTTTAACCCTTAATTTTACCAGAATTGGGGAAACATCTTGGCCACACTCTTTGGAGTGAATGGAGAGAATGTAATCTAAAAGAAATGTTAGAATATCCTTGAAATATTCCATTTTATTGTTGATAATGTAGATCTCGCCTAGCTGCAATGCTCGTAATCCAAAAGTAATACTACTACTACTACTTTGTTTTATGTACATTGCTTTATATTCAATTACTTTAATTTATTTAACTTTACTTTTTGCCCTCCACTTTCATCTCACTACTCGTCGTTCAGTCTTATCGTAATATAGTATTTTATGAAGCAGCACGGTGCACACGATACTCCTGTTAAATTCTGAAATCCTATTTACTTTTTTTTTTAAATACAAATACCAGATTTCGTTACCCTTGTGTATTATCTTATAGTGGATAAAACCGTCAAAACATGTTTTTGAACAGCGATGTAAAACACAAGGCTGTTTCTTGCGTTAAAAATTATTAGTGCTCCCCCC